GGGTCGCAGCTGCCTCTGCGCGTCCTGGGGATGTACCTTTGTCGCGCGCCGGAGATGACTCGACGCCGCTGAGATCGGAGATCAAGCTCTGACAGGTCGCACGTCGCTCCTTTGACGCCGACGTGACTCACCCGTGCAGATCACATCAGGACACGGTCTCGACGCGCTCGGTACGACGCCTGCGACCCGTCTCGGGTCAGGTGGCACGACGCTCATATCGCCTGCCAGCGCTGCCGTGCAGGTTGCCACGACGAGGTCGAGAACGCTTCTATACGCTCGCCGAGCCTTCCTTTCCATCCCATTAGGCAGCCTGGGAACGGTGGCGATCAGAGGCAAAGCCTACGAGGGGTGGTGGAACCACATGTCACGGCTACTGCCGGCTCGACCCCACGATAGCCTCCGGAGGCTGACTTTGAGGCACAATCATCGGACGATGTCGACGAGTTGGGTCGCTCTCGCGGTAGCCAGATGACCTCTCATACTAGGAGCATCGGCCATGGCCGCAGGGAGCGCGGGGGAGGGCGCTGGAAGCAACACGGAGCTCCGTTGGAGACGTTTTCAAGATTAGCGTGTCAGAGTGAAATGGCACTAGCCCTAACCGCCCCAATCGTTAACGTTATCGGCGGACATCGTTACCGACGAAGAGGCCCCGACGGACAGCTTCTTTAATTTTCAACGAAAGCACTCTCATTTTTCCAAAGCCCTCACAGGGCGCGGCCGCACCATGCTCACCGCCTTACCCGGCAGCAGCCCCTCCGATCGCCAGGCCGATTCCAGGGCCGTCAAACGTACGCGGCGACGCCGCGACGGCCAAACCACCGCCTTTCAGGGCCCTTCGAGATGCATCAGACAAGCAAATCGCGCAGCCGCTGTCCTTGCTCCTGGACAGCTGCGTTCTCTGGGTGCGCCTGCAACGCCGCTGTCGCCGCCTCGGGCGCGTGTGCAGTCACAGCACGCTGCCTCCGCGCCCGCGCCGCGGCGTCGGTGCCGCAGCACACGTTGGTCAGCGCCCGGCAACCCATTTCCTGCACCCCCGCCACCTGCCGGTGAGCCTGCATCGCCGCCACTGCCGCCTCGATCGCACCCGCAACTGCTGCGCGCTGCTTGCGTGCGAGCCCTGCGCCGTCCATGCCGGAGCACACGTTGACCAGCGCCACACAGCCTTGCTGTTCAACCCCCGCCACCTGCGGGTGAGCCTGCATCGCCGCCACCACCGCCTCGATCGCGCCCGCGTCTGCTGCGCGCTGCCTGCGTGCGCGCCCTGCGGCGTCGGTGCCGCAGCACACGTTGCGCAGCACCCTGCAGCCTTCTGCCTGCACCTCCGCCTCCTGCGGGTGAGCCTGCAGCGCCGCCACTACCACCTCGATCGCGCCCGCCTCTGCTGCGCGCTGTATGCGTGCGAGCCCCGTGGCGTCGGTGCCGGAGCACACGTTGACCAGCGCCGCACAGCCTTGCTGTTGCACGATCGCTACCTGCGGGTGAGCCTGCAGCGCCGCCACCACCGCCTCGATCGCGCCCGCGTCTGCTGCGCGCTGCCTGCGTGCGCGCCCTGCGTCGTCGTCGCCGGAGCACACGTTGGCAAGTGCCCCGCAGCCGTCCTCCTGCACCCCCGCCACCTGCGGGTGAGCCTGCAACGCCGCCACAACCGCCTGGATCGCGCCCGCGGCTGCTGCGCGCTGCTTGCGTGCGAGCCTTGCGGCGTCGGTGCCGCAGCACACGTTGCGCAGCGCCCCGCAGCCTTCCTCCTGCACTTCCGCCTCCTGCGGGTGGGCCTGCATCGCTGCCACAATCGCCTCGATCGCGCCCGCCTCCGCCGCCAGTTGCTCGTTCTGATCCTCCATGCACAGATTCGCCAAGCGCTTGCACGCCGCAGCAGCGACGCGGCTGACCGACACGTGCACGCGCAGCGTCGCCACCGCCGCCGCAACGTCCATCGCCTGCACCGCCGCATCGCTCGGCGGCGCGTCGTGCGGCGCGGCGCCAACGCGCTGCCGCACCCGCCGCCCTCCCTCCTCGCCGCCCTCGCCCGCCTCGCCCGCCTCCAGCGCCGCCATGCGCGACCGCAGCTGTGAGTTCTCCGTCCGCAGTTCCGCCACCTCGGTCTGCAGCGGCGCCATCTGGGCCTGCAGCCGCTCGTTCTCCGCACCCTGTGCCGCCACTTGGGCTCGCAGCGGCGCCATCATGCGCTGGCACACGGCGAAGGGGCACGTCGCCTCGTGCGCCGCCTTGTCTGCCAGCAGCCCCGACCACGCGCAACCAGCCTCCGCCGCAGGACACGCTCGCGGCCGCTGCGGGCAGTCTTGCTCGTGGGCGGAGACTTCGCCGCGCGTCGTCGCCAGCCCGCAGTGCGAACACGCCGCCGGCAGCGCCCCGATCCGCTCCTCGTGGCTTCGGCATCGAATCGCCTGGCTCAGCGGTCCGAGAGCCATGCGGCACTCGGGGCAGCGGCGCGGGGCTCGCAGGCTGGAGTCGCAGGAGGCGCAGAAGACGTGGCCCTCCCGGCACTGGTGCTGCGGCCCATCCTGCACCTCCAGGCAAACGGGGCACTCCAGGCGCTGGGCGGCCATTCAGAAAAAAGAAAGCATATTTCCTCGCGCCGTCCTCCCATCCCTCCCTTGGGTTGTCTGTTTTCTTTCTTTCTTTCTTTCTTTTTCGAGCAGACGCCCAAGGGTGGGCGACGAGGCATGACCATCCCATGACACTGCATGGACCACAGCACACTCACATAGATGGGCTCTGGTAGGAGGCTCCACACCACCTGACTCGCGTCGTGCCACCTGAAAGCCACAAAATGCCGGATTTTGCACGAGACACACGCGGAAAGCGCCACGTGCCTCCACGAGTCCTTTGCAGCTTTTTCAAAAAGGCAGGTGGCTTTAGCCACTTGCTCCATGAGTCCAAAACAGTCCAAAATGTGTATCGCGCGCCTTCCTTGCGGGGGGGGCGCGGAAAAGTGTGTATCGCGCGCCTTGCGGGGGGGGCGCGGAAAAGAGGAACCTCTTAGCGCCATCGCCACGGTGCTGCATGCAGCGCCGGGCGACGACGGCTTACCGCCTCCCGGTCCCCCTCGGCACACCTCCGCTGCTCAATGTTTGACGGCTCGAACCCGTGAAGCTTCCCCGTGCGCGGGTTACCCCGCACACGGGTCAGCCTGCCAGCCACGTATCCACGCAAGCGTGGTCCGCGTGCATGGCATACAGGCGTCCGCCAGACAGCGCAGAGGCTAGGCGACCGGGGAAGGACTAGCTCAAGGGCAACACAGCGTCACCAGCCGTTGGCGCGCAGAACGAGTCTGCACGGCCCCCCGGTTGGGACGAGTGCGCGACGCGGACGAACCGCTCAATGTGGCCGGCAGCTCGCGCTGCCGGCGGGGTTGGTTGGGGAGAACCGGCACGGGGATGGCCGGCCTCCCCGGAGGGGTCGCCCCCTGGAGGGGCCCCAAAGGGCCCCCCGGGGGGGCGGGGGCCCCCGCCCCGAGGGGCGGGGGCGGGTCCTTCCGTGTCGCTCCCCTCGTCGGGAGTGTCCGTCGGGATGGTGTTGTCCGCCCACTCGGCAGCGTTTGAGCCTCTGTCACCTTGCCTGCCGCGAGCAGCTAGCTCGTCGACGTAGTCGTTCCATTTGTTGCCGCTGTGACCCGCCACATGCCTCCACGTCACGGTGTGTTTGGCGCGAAGGCGTCGCCAGAGGGAACGAAGGCGCTCCGCTAGCTGTCTGTTCGTTTTGGGGGTCACCCTCCCCATCATGCACGCCGCCGCGTACTCGCTGTCGGTCCGCACTACTCCGCGTGAGCCCGCTCGTTGCGGTGACGAGGACAGGAGAGCCCGGAGGAGCTCGGCTAGGGCGGTTAGTTCCGCCGTGTTGTTGGTATGCCTGCGCGCGCCGAGGTAGGCTGGGTGCGCCGCCGAAGTGACAACTGGCCCGTAGCCCTCGCTCGCCAACGACGCGCCCCTATCGCCGATTGCGTCGCCCCCGATGAGTACTGTATAGGCCCACCCTGCTTTCCCTAGGTCTTCCGACCCGTCTGTGTATGCCACCCAGTCGGGCGGGCGTCGTTGCGCCTGCTCTGCCAGTTGCTGCTGTGGGCGAAGAACGACCCCTGGTGCCTCGACCATTAGTCTCAGCTTGACCCGGCATGCCCCCCCTTCACCCTGAGGCGCTACACAGAGGAGTGCGACTGTGCTCACCGCGCAGCCGTTTGCCGCCACCCCTCGGACAGATTCGAGCGTCTCGGGGAGCTCGCACTCACCTTCGCTGGAAAAGAATCCTGAGGCGAGCCACTCCGTCTCCCACTCCGCAACAGGCCCCTCCCCTGGCGACGGCTGCCAGCCCGGGATTCGGAGGCGAATCGCCTTCTCCTCGTCGAGAGCTCGGCGGCGGGTGTGGGCGTAAGTCCGGATTAGGGCTCGGCGCGCCTCGTTGTAGATCGTGTCAACTCGCACGTCCGGTGTGTCTTCCGGCGCGAGGAGGGCGTTCCGGTGGCGCCGTCGGACGATGCCTGCAAGTGTCTCAAGCATAATAACGCGAGTCGGCGTCGCCCCAATGCGCCCCTCAGCCATTTGTCCTCTGCCAGTGGTCAGACGGAACCCGGTGATGCAGAGGCGGCGGTATTCGTGGACTAGCTGCTCCCTCCCCATGCCCCGTACCTCCTCTAGCACGGCTTCATCCAGGGTCGTGCTTTCCAGGACTGCGCGGAGTACCGCCTCGAGGGTCAGTGTGGTGTATGGACATTCGAGGGCGAGGTGGCGTGTCGCCCTCGCTGTGTGTTTGTCGAGCTTCCGCATGAAGTGACGCGCCTCTTCCTTATTTCCAGCGCAGCTGCCGCTCAGTATGTGCGCCAACGACGCCTGTGGTGGCTCACTGTCTTCTTGTTTCCAGTCGTCCCAGTCTGTCAGTTCCCCGCGTCTCCTCCTTGCCTCGCGCGCCTCTTTTGTGGCCTCATCCCTAGCCGCCTTGCACGCTCTGCATCCCCAGAACGCACTTCTCGTGGCGGGGCCCCTCATTCCCCGTTTCTTTTCCCCCTCTAGAATACGCCTGTGGTGTGCCCCGTGTGGCACTGAGGGCCCAACTTGAGAAGCGTGCTTTTTTGGTTCGCGCGAAGGACCACCGCGAGCGACAGGTTAGGCAGAGGTTAGGGACCGATCGCCACCGCTCACGCCAGCGGACGGCCACCATCGGTGTTTTTGGCTTCGCCACCGTCCAAAGCGTGCGCAATGCGCTCGCCGACATCGAGCGAGCTCGCCTGTCCGACGAGCGGCTTTCTGTGCGGACGGCTTCTTGTGGCTCTCGTCGAGAGCGTTTTGCGTCCCGGCGGGTGTGAGAATGTGCCGTCTGATGTGTCACTGTGTACGTCACATCGGTCTTGATAACAAGCACGGTCGATCCGTCGAAGCGATACACTCGTCACGATCACGTTGGACGGCTTGCACGGAGCTCTGTGCCGGCACACAGGAAGAGCCGACGGCAAGAAGCTTAGGGTACCCCTAGGCTTAAAAGGGTGGGCCCTGGGGCGCCTGCGGCTTAAACGGCTTAAAACCTGCCATGGCAGGTTTTAAGAGCTGCTGGGCCGCCGATTCCTTAAACGGTCTTAAACGCTTAAACGGTGCGGGAGAGCTCCCGAGGTCGATGGTCCGGGAGGCTCCCCGGTAGACGCCGGAGGCCGGGAAGCTGGCTACAGTCAGCTGGCACGCGTCCCCTATGCGAGTATGGCTCCCGCCAGTGCACCAGACTTACAGATGTGTCTTCAGTGGCGGGTTCGTGCCTAATAACGGCAGTATTGGAGAAACCGGCGCGGAACCCAGCGACGCGTGCCGGTGAGGCCGATTTTCTTAAACGGACTTAAAAGAGGGGCCCCCCTGCCTGCAATCTCTTAAATGACAATTTGAGCCCCCAAACCTCCTCATTTCTTAAAAGGTCTTAAAACAATCCGGCCCTCAGAACCCTAGGGGTACCCTAAGGCAAGAAGAGCTCGATGGGGAGCGAGAATCGCCAAAGGTGCTCACGGAGGTGTCGGAAGTCCGCCATGATACGGTCAGTTCCCCCCAGGTTTGACTGCGTAGGTCGCGGAACTCGTTGAGTACTCGCAGCCTTTCTGCGCCTCCGTCTGCATCGCGTCGGCTGCTCTGCGGCAAGAGCAGTCTTTTCGGAAGATATCGACGATTTTCGAGAGGCACCCGCTTGGGAGCGATTGAGCGCGTCACGGAGGACTCAGGTTACCCCTGAACCTCCTCTGACGGTTCTCGCTCCCCATCGAGCTCTTCTTGCAGCACCGGCTCTTCCTGTGTGCCGGCACAGAGCTCCGTGCAAGCCGTCCAACGTGATCGTGACGAGTGTATCCCTTTGACGGATCGACCGTACTTGTTATCAAGACTGACATGACGTACACAGTGACACATCAAACGACACATGTGTTCTCCCACCCGCCGGGCCGCAAAATGCTCTCGACGAGAGCCACAAGAAGCCGTCCGCACAGCAAGCCGGTCGGTCGAACACGTTGCTCGCTCGATGCCGGCGAGCGCATGTCGCACGAGGTAGACGGTGGCGTAGCTAACATCACTGACGACGATCGTCCGCTGGCGTGAGCGGCGGCGATCGGTCCCTAACCTGCGGTCCTTCACCGTAACGATCGGTCCTTCGCCTTCATCCCTAACCCCAAAAAGCACGATTCTCAGTTGGAGGGCCCTCGGACTACTATTAAAATAAACCTGGCGACAACCTGGCAAGCTCGCACATGGTCATGGAGTCACACAGTCCACCTGTGTGATGCACGCCCTGCGAGCGGGGCGGGGTTGCGCACTGTCCCTCTCTGTGTTCGTGTGCGTCGCCCATCTCTCCCTGGAGATGACTGCTCTATTTTTTTTCGTGCTTGTGCTTCGAGCGAGAATGGATCAAGCTACGTCCTACGAAGGCGACGTGTGCTGTGCGACAGTTCCCGCGGCCGCACCATGCTCACCGCCTTACCCGGCAGCAGCCCCTCCGATCGCCAGGCCGATTCCAGGGCCGTCGAACGTACGCGGCGACGCCGCGACGGCCAAACGACCGCCTCGATGCTCCCGCTTGCAGCAGCTCAGTGCCGGCCGGCGATGCGGTACTGGCCCGCCGAGTGCTCGAGCTTGGCCTCCTCGACCATGTGCATCAGGAAGCGCTGCAGCTCCTAGTGGCAGGCAACCGCGGCACACGCTCGGCAGGGTATCGCGTCTCGCTCGGGCGGTGCGGCCGAAGCGGCGCAGCGCCTGCTCGGAGCAATCGTAGCCTCGGTCGCCGCCGCTCGCGGGCACAAACATCTTGAGCATGTTGTGGATCCGCTGCACGGGCAGGGACTCGAGGTTGGTCAGCATGCCGATCACGTACTGCTCGTACACCTGCGTCAACCCAAACCACCGGAGTGAGTGAGTCTATGCCGAACCGGACAACACGACGCGCTGCCCCGCTCGCGCACCTTCATCTCGGCGATGCGCTGCTCCTCCGCCAAGCTGGCCACCGCGTCGCCGTCCTCGTCCTCGCCCGCGTCGTGCCTGCCGCACGCCACACACGGGTCCACTCGGGCCACTCGGGCAGTCCCGTCCCTCCTCTCGCCCGCGTGTGGTGCCTCGACTCGTCGCCAGCGCCGAGAGAAGTCGCCGCCTCGAAGACTGCGCCGCCGCCCGCGTCGCGCACCTGAGCAAGGCAGTCGAGGGGTGAGCCAAGGCAGAGCTCGCCGACTGCCGCCGACTCGTCTCGACGCCGCGGGTGGGAAGGAGGGAAGCGGCGGCATCGGGAGGGATCTCTCGCCGAGATCTCGCCGAGATTGCGCCGAGATTGCGCCTCGGAGATGAAGCCGCGGTTGAGCCAGATCGAGAGGTTCTTGCGAACCACGTCGGTGGCGATGCCTAGAAGAAGAAACCGCGCCGAGCGTCAAACAAGGCTGCGGGGGAGACGCGTCTTGCGTGGCGGCAGCGACGCCGAGCTCGGACGCCAAATCCGCCAGCGCCCATCTCTGCTGCGCGCCGAACCGGAGCAGGATCGTCGCTTGCAGCGGCTTGCACTGCACGTCTCCGACGCTGCCGTCGGGGAAAGTGACCTATGCACGCGCCCGGCTGTGCAGAGACGAGGCGGACAGCTCGCACGCGCTGCCGTCGGGGAAAGATGACGTCGAGGGTGACGGTTCCGAGGGACGGCTTCCACACGAGCTTGCGCGGCGCCTGCCAAGCCAGCCTCGGGTGATCTCGGGCGACCTCGGGTGACCTCGGGCGACCTCGGGTGACCTCGGGTGATCTCGGGTGATCTCGGGCGACCTCGGGTGACGTCGGCCAATCTCGGCCGATCTCGGTCGATCTAGGGTCGATCTCAGGTCGATCTCGACGCCTTGATGTGTGCGAACTGCTTCTCGAAGCGCGCCATCTCCTTCTTCACGCCGGCGGGCAGCGTGAAAGTGTCCGTGGGCAGGCTCGGCCTGTTCACAGCGAGGGGTGTGAAGAGGCGCCGCTCCCCGCAGCGGGGCGGTCTCGGCAGGCAAGTCTGGCCAGCACAGGCGCGAGACGACGGTCGCGTCGATCAGCGTGGCGCCCTCGCCTCCGCCAGAGACGCCTCCGAAGTGCTGCTGGATCGAGCGCGAAATGCGGCGCGACTCGGCCACGTCGGTGAGCATGACCTTTGATTGATGAATGATGAATGGTTGATTGTTGATTCGCGGCGCGACTCGGCCACGTCAGGGGAGCATGGCCTCGCACGCCGAGAGCGCGGCGTCCCCGAACCGCTTCTTGAGGAGCTCGAGATTGCGCACCTTCCCGTAGCACCGGCACGGAGTCAGTGAGGGCGAGGCTACCTGCCGCCGCTTCTCTGAGGAGCTCCACATGTACATGTATGTGCATGTGCATGCGCATGTAGCATGTGCATGTGCACGTGCGTGTTGCACCTCCTTCTCTGTGTCGTGCGACGCAGACGCGAGCAGCTTCTCGGACAGCATCTTGCGGAACTCGTTGACGAACGTCGCCTGTCGAGCCGTCCGCAATGATCAACGATCAAGTCGTAGTGATCAATGGCTCATTCTCAGTTCATAATTAAGGGTGCCTTGGAGCCGTAGATCTGCACGAGGATCGCGAGGACGTCTGGCGCGCGCCTGATGTGTACAGAAGGTTCCTCAGAAGCTTCGAGAAGGTTCCACACCCGGACGTCTGGCGCGCGCCTGATGCGTGGAGATGTGTGGAGAGGCGCCGTTCACACACGCCGAGGTGTGAAGACCAACGGGGGGGGCAGCACAGCGGCGCGCGCCGCGCCGCCGCGCCGCCCGAGGAGGCTCCGTCGGCGGTGACAGGCTCCGGCTCCCACTTGAGCATGGCGGCCTAGAGAAGGTTCCTAGAAGGTTCCTAGAAGGCTCCTAGAAGGCTCCTGCTCCGGCTCCCACTTGAGCATGGCGGCCTAGCGCAACGACCTCCTCATGATACAGTGAGCAAGTGACACGCTTGACGCCGCTCTTCTTTTCTCTTGGCGGCCTCGTCGCCGCGGCTCTCGTCCGGATCGGGCGCCTATAGAAGGTTCCTAGAAAGTTCCTAGAAGGTCCCTAGAAAGTCCCTGCGCCGGCTCTCGTCCGGGTCGGGCGCCATGTCGCCGTCGGCCGCCGCCTCCTGCACAACCTCTGCCGCCGCGCCGCCTCCGACCGGCTCGAGCAAGTCCGACGAGTCGGGGTCGGTCAGCGTGGTGACGATCTGCTTGACAGTGTCGGGCCTACCGAGGTGCGGCCGAGGTGCGGCCGAGGTGCGGCCGAGGTGCGGCCGAGATGCAGCCGAGGTGCGGCCGAAGTGCGGCCGAGGTGCAGCCGAGGTGCGGCCGAGGTGCGGCCGAGGTGTGACGATCTGCTCGGCAGTGCAGGGCCTCAGCGTGGTGAGTGATCTCGACTCGAGCTCGGCGCCTAAGCTTGAGGTAGGCGCGCACGCGCTCCGAGACGGCGTCCAGCGTGAGGCCGGACGGGTCTAGCCGCCTAGGAAAGAAAAGCGGCAAGCCAAGAGTGAGTGGTGCGGGTGGTGGGCGAGAAGCAGGGCGAGACGAGCCGCCGGAGCGCGCGGATCATGCCAATGTAGACCTGCGGCGTGATGGCAGGACGTTGTGATCAAACATGCCACGTGCGTTGGAGGTGGGCTCTCAGCGCTGCCGTGCATACGACGCATGCTGAGTGAGCATCAGCGTGCTCTGGTAGGGAGTCGTCTCGGACGCTTGGAGGTGGGGGTCTGGGGGCTCTGTTTGCCCACGCACGCCTCTAAAATCTGGTGCGTCTCGGCACCCGGCTTGAGCAGCCGCTTTTCGAGCGCCTTCGCAGATGGAGAGAGCAGATGACGGCGACTAGCCGAGTGAGCCGGCTCGAGCAGCCGAGCGCCCGAGCGCCTCGCCGAGCCCCTGCACGATGTCTGCGTGCTGGTGCGTGTGGTGCAGGCAAGCGTGCCTGCCGGGGGGGGGGGAGAGGGGGGGGGGGGGGGGAGGCACTTAAACACACAAGGGTGGCTCCGGGGGTGCGCACGAGGCAGGCGGCCGCCTGCAGCGCAAAGCAGTCCCTCATCTCAACATGGAGGGGGGAGGAGGGGGGAGGGGTGCGCAGGAGGAGGGCGTGCAGGTCGTCCAGCGCTGGCGTCGAGTCCGGGAAGTCGACCAGAATGTCGAAGAGCTCCGCGATCCGCATGCCCGCGAGGGACTGCATGAAGAAGAAACGCAGCCGCGCGCGCCACTGCTTCAGCGGCGCCTGAGGCCACAACACACGCGCACTCACGCACCGGCTCGCTCGGTGCCCTCGCGCCACTGCTCCAGCGGCACCGACGCCGCCGTCAGCAAATCGCGCGCTCGCCACTGGTCCGCGCCGGACTCGAGCGCCGCAGACACCCAGGGCAGCACCGAGGCGTCGATCCAGTCGAGCTGCCGCTCCATCACACACGACTCGAACCTGCCGGCGCATCGCTCGCGCAGGGAGAGCCGCAGGTGCGCCTGAAGCATCGCCGACACCGACGCCTCCGCCAGCGGCATCCAGCGCAGCCCTCGCAGCGCCTCGCTCAGCCGCCGCAGCTGCACTGGGGCCGGCCCTCCTCCCCACAGAGCGCGCAACCCGCCGCCGCCGCCGCCATCCTCGTCGTCCGTGTCCATCGGCTCTCCGCCGCTCTCCATCGGATCGTCAAGCTCCTCCTCCTCCTCCTCCTCCTCCTCCTCCTCCTCCTCCTCCTCCTCGACGCCGCTGCACCCTTTGCGCGTCCCATCGACGAACAAGCGCCTCCACGCGATCACGAGCCAGAGGTGCAGCGCGTCGCTGTGCGGCGCCGCCGTCAGCACGAGCGTCTGCAGCGAGGTCAGCAGCTCCTCTCGCACGCTCGCGCCAAGCCACACCACCAGCTCCGCCTCCACCTCGGGCTGCCTCGGATGAGGCGAGAGGCCGCCGCCGCCGCCGCCGGCTGTCGCGTCGCCGCCGGGCCACGCCTTGCCCTCAAGAAAGGACAGCGCACTGAGCTCCGCCTCTGCTGCCTGAAGGAGCTCGCTCGCGGCGTCGAGCAGCGCGCGGACACCCCGCCGCTGCGCCGCCTTCACCGCCCCGCGGTCGTCGGCGGAGACGGAGGCTTGCGACCGGACCAGCTGCCGGTACTGCTCCCAGAACCGAGGCACCGCCCGCTGCTGCAGCCGCTCGCTCGCCTCGGAGAAGGCCCACTGCATCAGTAGCCCGTGCAGCCCGTGGTGGCACACCAGCGCGAGCGAGCGCGCGAGCGCCGGCGCGGCAGCGCACGCGGCGCCGAGGGTGCACTCTGGTGGAACGCCGTTGGCGGGGTGCTGCTCGCGGTCGGCACGGACGGCGTCGACCGCAACAATCCAGTGCTCGGTCGCCTCCACGTCCGCCGGTGACCACTCCGACGGGTGCGAGCGCTGGTGGGAGCGGGGAGAGTGCATCATGCCCCGGTAACGGGAGAGAGCGATAGCGAGATAGCCGATACCGCAGCGAGCGCGTCGAGCGTCGAGCAGCGGCTTCGAAAAACAAGAAAAATCAGTGAGGGGGCGGCGCGCTGCAGAGGCGGCGGGCGAGCCGGAGGTGGCGCCATCGCCGGCGCCGCCGCCGGTGTTCAAGACGCTCAGGGTCGGCTCAGCCGTCGGCGAAGGGCTGGGCGGCGGAGGTGGCGAGGGCCGAGGAGCTCTACGAGGAGCTGCGCGAGCGCGCGCCCCAGCACTGCCGCCGTGGCGGCAAGTGGGCGCGCGAGAAGTTCGTGATGGCGGTGCAGGGAGGGAGAGTTCCCGCGCGCGCGAGGGGCAGGCGTTCCCAAGGGGACGATCCTGTGCCTTGGCAGGGTGCTCGACGCGCACGATGAGCAGGACGACGCGGAGGGTGGGCGCCGGGATTGGGAGGAGGACCCGCTCGGGTTCGACACCAACCCGGGGCTGCTCCGCGCCATGTGCATGGCGTTCGAGTGAACGCCGTGCAGGCAGCCCGTGCCTTTTGGTGTACCCCGTTTGTACCGCGTCCTGTGCCCCCGAGTTCATTTTGTAAATCCGCGTCGATCAACTTGCGTTTGTTACAATTGTAAACCATTTAAAAATGAAGGATCGTAAATGAGACGTCATCAGGTGAGCGTGATGAAACGTGACGGATCGAGTCCCTCCTTTTCCTTTGTGGCCATGATGACCTCTGAGAGAGAGAGAGACCTCTGGGAGGTGGTCTGTACTGCTACGCATATGTAGTCGCCCAGAATGCACAGATCGGCCATGTTATGTAAATACGCGCCCGCGATCCATAGTGCGTCGGCCAGACGTCGCGTATTTCGGTGTCGTGCCCGAGCCAAGTGGCGCCTGAGGGAGCTACAAATGTCTTGCGTATTACGAATCTGTCTTCTGCATCCACCTTCGGCCGATCGGGGTGTGCCTCTCAAGGCGCGCTACGCCCCACGTACTACGCACACGCATTCCGGATTCGAGTGAGAAGTGGTGGCCGACGGGGGTTACGCCTCACGGTTTTACGCATTCGCACGCCCAAGGTGTCGGAGAGGGCCTACGCACCACGTACTACGCACACGCATTCCGGATTCGAGTGAGAAGTGGTGGCCGACGGGGGTTACGCCTCACGTATTACGCATACGTTTTACGCATTCGCACGCCCAAGGTGTCGGAGAGGGCCTACGCACCACGTACTACGCACACGCATTCCGGATTCGAGTGAGAAGTGGTGGCTGACGGGGGTTACGCCTCACGTATTACGCATACGTTTTACGCATTCGCACGCCCAAGGTGTCGGAGAGGGCCTACGCACCACGTACTACGCACACGCATTCCGGATTCGAGTGAGAAGTGGTGGCCGACGGGGGTTACGCCTCACGTATTACGCATACGTTTTACGCATTCGCACGCCCAAGGTGTCGGAGAGGGCCTACGCACCACGTACTACGCACACGCATTCCGGATTCGAGTGAGAAGTGGCGGCCGACGGGGGTTACGCCTCACGCATTACGCATACGTATTACGCATTTGCACGCCCAAGGTGTCGGAGAGGGCTTACGCACCACGTATTACGCATACGTATTACGCATCCCCCCCCCAACCCCCTTTATGTGCGCGCACTGGCGCTGCCGCTAGGGCTGCCATAAGTTGGCTGGGGTTGTATGTGCGCTGGTAACAACAGACTCGGGCATAGCCCTCGACAGCCACCCCCTAACCCCCCTCCCCCCCCCCCTTATGTGCGCGCACTGGCGCTGCCGCTCGGGCTGCCATAAGTTGGCTAGGGTTGTATGTGCGCTGGTAACAACAGACTCGGGCATAGCCCTCGACAGCCACCCCCTAACCCCCCACCCACCCCCCTTTATGTGCGCGCACTGGCGCTGCCGCTCGGGCTGCCATAAGTTGGCTAGGGTTGTATGTGCGCTGGTAACAACAGACTCGGGCATAGCCCTCGACAGCCACCCCCTAACCCCCCACCCACCCCCCTTTATGTGCGCGCACTGGCGCTGCCGCTCGGGCTGCCGTAAGTTGGCTAGGGTTGCCTTGGACTACGAAGGATGAAAAATACGTAATGCGTAATGCATATGCGTGATACGTAAGGGGGGGGGGGGGGCTCTGGGGCGCGCGGGGCGAGATACATAATCCGGAAACGTGAGACGTGGTACCTAAGGCACCCGCCGCGCGGGCCATTGCACCGTCCCCGGGGCAAAGCTTTGCGGTGAAAAGGACGTATGCGTAATGCGGATACGTGATACGTCGAAGACGCCCCGCCCTCCGCGGGCCGCGGCGCACCGGCGGAGATCCATAATCCGTATACGTGACACGTGGTACGTATGAGGCAACCACAGGGCCATCGCACCGTCACGCACGCGATGATTACGTGTATGTATTGACGTTTTCTATTTATTTTTGAAGGGGGAGGCGTTCGACGGGCTGCGTAATGCGACGCATTTGGACTGGCAAGTGACGTACACGCACCGAGTTTACGTATTCCCGAGAGGGCGTAATGTGATGCGTATGCATATGGGCCTCTGTGCATATGCGTAGCAGTACAGACCACGATTGAGACCTCTGTGGTGGCGGCGTGCCGTCCTCCCATCCCTCCCCTGCGTTGCGTATTTTGTTTCTTTTTTGCGTTTGTTTCATAAGATCGAGGGCTAGCTCAAAAAAAGAGAAAACGACAAAGGCCCTCCGCAGGCGCCACGCGCCACGGGCGTACAAAAAACAGCCGGCCCTGCGTGTCTTGCGCGATCGAGTAGAATGATCCCTCCCTTTGAGCTGCTTGTTTTCTTTCTTTCGATCGAGCAGGTCAGTGAACCATATTAAATCATACACTTACACACATGACCCGACGGCGGGACGCCACCACCCTCGCCCAGGGATCTACTATACAAAATGCTGTCTTAAGGTCCGACAGGTTCGGCACCGGGCACCGCCTCGGTATACAAAATGCGCCTGCGGGCGGACCCTTACAGATCACAGATCACACATGACAAAACCGCGGCGTGCGAGCGGCGGAACCGAGCAACGTGTACGTCCAAAGCGTTATTCTTTGAGAGCGACGGCTCGTGAAGTCGTGATCTGCCGCCCGCTACTCCAAGTCGGACGACTCCGACGGTTCGGACGCCACCTCGGTGCCAGCCTCCCAACCTCCGAGGGAACGGAAGCTGTCCGAGAGCTCGGCTCCAAAGTCGCCGACGACGGGAGACGCGACCGAGAGCCGCCTCTTGGCGAAGTCCGACCCGTCCGCCGCGACGGGGCTGTCTGGCGTCGAGTCGCGGTTGCTCTCCTCCGCCGGGTCCTCCGCGCGTGACTTTCGCTTCATCACGGTCGCGGGCTCGCGCCCAAACTTGGAGATCCCCCGCGCGCCGAGGTTGATGTAGTAGGAGCCCACGTCGGCGAGGGCCGGCTCCTGCTGCGCGTCGACGGTGGCAGAGCCAAAGGTGAAGGGCAGCCGCGCGACGATCGCGGTGATGTCGTCGCGGTAGTTGCCCTCCTCCTGCTTCCACCGCGCGGCCGCCTCGTGCACGAGCTTGGCGCACCCCTCGGCCGCTGACGCCGGCGCGGACGCCACGATCTCGCAAGCCTCCTGAGGAGGAGGCGGGAGGGCGCGGCGGTGAGGGAAGGGCTGGGCGTGTGTCCGCGTGCAGTGGGCCGGTCTGCCTGCGAGTCGATGAACTCCCACACCCCGTCGGACGCGACGATGATGAAGCGGTCGCCGTCGGCCTCTGGCTCGTTGGCGGGCGCGGCGCCGAGATCGAACCGCTTGATCTCGGGGTCGGGGATGACGCCAAAGCGCTTGCACTCGCCGTCGCCGATGGAGCGGGACATCGCCAAGCCCACGCGCCCGTCGGCCCACACTCGCGCGGGCGAGGCGCCGCTCGCGCCCGAGACGACCCCGCCCGCGCCGACGATGCGCTCGTACTCTTCGGGCGAGTCCGGCTTGCAGTCGACCGAGAGATCCCGCGCCCGGATCGCTCCGTCGCGCACGTAGCCGAGCACAGCTCTCGAGTCGCCAGAGCATGCCGTCCAGACGGTTGCCCCCTGCATGTAGACGATTATCGATGTGCATCCGCACATCCGTGCAAACTCGCCCCCGCGGTGAGCCAAGACGGCTCGGTCGGCCTCGCACACCGTGTTAGAAAGCTGCTCGGAAGGGCTCGCACGGAGCTCAAGGCCGTTCTGCTGGAGCAGCTCGGGGATGGCTCGCATGCAGAATTCGGCAACCTTCTCGCCGCTGCCGCCGTGCCCGTCAAAGACGCACAGCAGCGCCTCGTTGCACGAGCCGTTGAACGGGTAGTGCACGACACCGCGGTCCTGGTTGATCTTGGCGAGCGAGCGCCCGTCCGGGCCGGGTGCGATGCCGTGGCGAGTGGCGTTGCCCAGCGTCTCGGCAAGTGCACCACCGACCGGGGCCTCCTTTGCACCTCGCGGCGACGGCCTGGGCGACGGCAGCTCTGTGGCGGCGTACTGGAACGAGAGGCGATCCCTCACCGGCCCTTCGGCGGCCTCTGGGCTTGGGTCGGGAGCGGGCTTGAGGAACGTCGGGAGGACGCGGGTGAGTAGGCCCATACTCACTGTGTGAGAGCCACTGCGAAGTGAGAGCAGCCGGCCGCCGCCGCCGAGCGCGTCTTGGGCAGAAAGCGAGCAGCGTGCGGTCGATTTTGCGACCGCTTTTCGCCTCAAAGAATTCTTAAGATAAAAGGTAAGGTAAGGTAAGGTAAACTTCTCCACACACACGAGGTGGTGGGGCAAGGGGGGGCAACCCTCGCGTCTCCACGTCTGACGACAAGCCTCTCTCAAAGAAAAACTTCGCGGGCTGGCCGAAGTAAAGCAAGAGGGGAGGCACGCGGATCCGTAACGGCCGTAGGCCATCTAGGCCCCCTGCGCAACAACAAAACAAGCCTCGCCGCTCTCTCGACTACAACGGCTTTGAGAGTAGAGTCACGGCCCTCTCAGGCAAGCAGATCGCTCAAGCGCTGTCCTTGCGCCTGCACGCCCGCCACCTGCGGGTGAGCCTGCATCGCCGCACCAGCCGCCTCAATCGCGCCCGCGCCTGCTGCGCGCTGCTTGCGTGCGAGACCCACGGCGTCGGTGCCGCAGCACACGTTGCCCAGCGCCGCACAGCCATGCTGTTGCAAGCCCGCCACCTGCGGGTGAGCCTGCAGCGCCGCCACTACCACCTCGATCGCGCCCGCGTCGGCTGCGCGCTGGCTGCGTGCGAGCCTTGCGGCGTCGGTGCCGGAGCACACGTTGGCCAGCGCCCTGCAGCCTTGCCTCTGCACGCCCGCCACCTGCGGGTGAGCCTGCAGCGCCGCCACCACCGCCTCGATCGCGCCCGCGTCTGCTGCGCGCTGCCTGCGTGCGAGCCCTGCGGCGTCGGTGCCGCAGCACACGTTGCCCAGCGCCGCACAGCCATGCTGTTGCACCTCCGCCACCTGCGGGTGAGCCTGCATCGCCGCCACTACCACCTCGATCGCGCCCGCGTCGGCTGCGCGCTGGCTGCGTGCGAGCCTTGCGGCGTCGGTGCCGCAGCACACGTTGACCAGCGCCGCACAGCCTTCCGCCTGCACCCCCGCCACCTGCGGGTGAGCCTGCATCGCCGCCACTGCCGCCTCGATCGCGCCCGCCTCTGTTGCGCGCTGCTTGCGTGCGAGCCCCGCGGCGTCGGTGCCGAAGCACACGTTGCCCAGCGCCGCACAGCCTTGCTGTTGCACCCCCGCCACCTGCGGGTGAGCCTGCAACGCCGCCACTATTGCCTCGACTGCGTCCGCGCCCGCCGCAAGTTGCCTGTTCTGCACCTCAATGCACAGATTAGCCAAACGCATGCACGCCGTAACAGCGACGCGGCTGACCGACACGTGCACGCGCAGCACCGCCGCCGCCGCCGCCACGTCCATCGCCCACACCGCCGCATTGCTCGGCGGCGCGTCGTGCGGCGCGGCGCCAACGCGCTGCCGCACCCGCCGCCCTCCCTCCTCGCCGCTCTCGCCCGCCTCCAGCGCCGCCACGCGCGACTGCAGCTGCGAGTTCTCCGCGCCCTGCGCTGCCAACTGGGCCTGCAGCCGCTCGTTCTCAGCGCCTTGTGCCGCCACTTGGGCTCGCAGCGGCGCCAACTGAGCCTGCACCCGCTCGTTCTCCGCCCGCAGTTCCGCCACCTCGCTCTGTAGCGGCGCCATCATGCGCTGGCACACCGCGAAGGGGCACGTCGCCTCGTGCGCCGCCTTGTCTGCCAGCAGCCCCGACCACGCGCAGCCAGCCTCCGCCGCGGAACACGCGCGCGGCCGCTGCGGGCAGTCGTGCTCGTGGGCGGCGACTTCGCCGCGCGTCGTCGCCAGCCCGCAGTGCGAACACGCCGCCGGCAGCGCCGCGATCCGCTCCTCGTGGCTTCGGGATCGAATTGCCTGGCTCAGCGGTCCGAGAGCCATGCGGCACTCGGGGCAGCGGCGCGGGGCTCGCAGGCTGGAGTCGCAGGAGGCGCAGAAGACGTGGCCCTCCCGGCACTGGTGCTGCTGCCCGTCCTGCACCTCAAGGCAGACGGGGCACTCCAGGCGCTGGGCGGCCATTTCTTGACTCAGAAAAAAGAAAGACGGGCCATCAGCAGGCCCCGCCCAAAATCCGGAGGGTGTCGCTCGTCGAGAGAGATCGCCAGTGGAATAGGGAGTCCACCGTGCTGCGAACCTGTCGCTGTCCCTTTTGTCAGGAGCAGGAGAACTAGGAGAGCGCAACCAGGAGGAGGCCCGCGCCTGCCTCCGTGCCGCCGGGTGCAACTTTGTCTTATACGAGAGGGGAATCCCTTGTCTGCCAAGAAAAATTATGCGCGATCACGACTGGCCGAAGTAAAGCAAGAGGGGAGGCACGCGGATCCGTAACGGCCGTAGGCCATCTAGGCCCCCTGCGCAACAACAAAACAAGCCTCGCCGCTCTCTCGACTACAACGGCTTTGAGAGAGTCGTCACGGCCCTCTCAGGCAAGCAGATCGCGCAAGCGCTGTCCTTGCGCCTGCACGCCCGCCACCTGCGGGTGAGCCTGCATCGCCGCCGCAACCGCCTCAATCGCGCCCGCGCCTGCTGCGCGCTGTATGCGCCCCGCGGCGTCGGTGCCGGAGCACACGTTGACCAGCGCCACACAGCCTAGCTGTTGCACCTCCGCCTCCTGCGGGTGAGCCTGCATCGCCGCCACTAACACCTCGATCGCGCCCGCGTCGGCTGCGCGCTGTATGCGTGCGAGCCTTGCGGCGTCGTCGCCGGAGCACGCGTTGGCAAGTGCCCCGCAGCCGTCCTCCTGCACTTCCGCCTCCTGCGGGTGAGCCTGCATCGCCGCCACCACCGCCTCGATCGCGCCCGCGGCTGCTGCGCGCTGCTTGCGTGCGAGCCCCGCGGTCTCGTTGCCGTAGCACACGCTAGCCAGCGCCTGGCAGCCTTCCTCCTGCACCTCCGCCACCTGCGGGTGAGCCTGCATCGCCGCCACCGCCGCCTCGATCGCGCCCGCGTCTGCTGCGCGCTGGCTGCGTGCGCGCCCTGCGGCGTCGTTGCCGAAGCACACGTTGGTCAGCGCCCCGCAGCCTTCCTCCTGCACTTCCGCCTCCTGCGGGTGAGCCTGCATCGCTGCCACAATCGCCTCGATCGCGCCCGCCTCCGCCGCCAGTTGCTCGTTCTGCTCCATGCACAGATTCGCCAAGCGCATGCACGCCGCAACAGCGACGCGGCTGACCGACACATGCGCCCGCAGCACCGCCGCCGCCGCCGCAACGTCCATCGCCCGTACCTCCGCATTGCTCGGCGGCGCGTCCTGCGGCGCGGCGCCAACGCGCTGCCGCACCCGCCGCCCTCCCTCCTCGCCGCCCTCGCCCGCCTCGCCCGCCTCCAGCGCCACCATGCGCGACCGCAGCTGTGAGTTCTCCGCCCGCAGTTCCGCCACCTCGGTCTGCAGCGGCGCCATCATGCGCTGGCACACCGCGAAGGGGCACGTCGCCTCGTGCGCCGCCTTGTCTGCCAGCAGCCCCGACCACGCGCAGCCAGCCTCCGCCGCGGAACACGCTCGCGGCCGCTGCGGGCAGCCTTGCTCGTGGGCGGCGACATCGCCGCGCGTCGTCGCCAGCCCGCAGTGCGAACACGCCGCCGGCAGCGCCGCGATCCGCTCCTCGTGGCTTCGGGATCGAATTGCCTGGCTCAGCGGTCCGAGAGCCATGCGGCACTCGGGGCAGCGGCGCGGGGCTCGCAGGTTGGAGTCGCAGGAGGCGCAGAAGACGTGGCCCTCCCGGCACTGGTGCTGCTGCCCGTCCTGCACCTCAAGGCAGACGGGGCACTCCAGGCGCTGGGCGGCCATTTCAGAAAAAGAATTTAAAAAGATAACTCTCTCTCACAGCCCATCCCTCCCTTGGGTTGTCTGTTTTCTTTCTTTCTTTAGCACACAGGCTCGACACAGGTGCGAACTGGCGCGTGCTAGTACTATCACCGGCACACCAGAAAAAGAATTCTTCACAAGCCTCTCTCTGAAAAAGAAAGACGCCTGCCGCCAGCACCAGCCCCGCCCAAAATCCGGAGGATGGTCGCTAGTCGAGAGAGATCGCCAGTGGAATAGGGAGTCCACCGTGCTGCGAACCTGTCGCTGTTCCTTGTCAGGAGCAGGAGAACTAGGAGAGCGCAACCAGGAGGAGGCCCGCGCCTGCCTCCGTGCCGCCGGGTGCAACTTTGTCCTATACGAGAGGGGAATCCGTGGGACCCTGTCGTGTGTGGGTGAACCCTGCCCAGCCCCCCTCCGTGTCGTGATGCGCTCCCCGCTCCCGTTCCCCTGTGTCCCTGATCGTCCTTACAAGATCCTGCTCGTGCAGGTGGGGACCCTGTCCTTCTCCCAACCCTTGTTTGGTGTGTCCGTTTTATTTATTTATTTAGGCCCCGCCCGGCCATCGTGTCGGAAAAGTCGTTGTGAAACAAACTCGAGCTCGTTCGCAGGCTCTGCGATTTCTACCGCTTCGCGGGGGAAGACACTGTCGACGGAGTGTCGTGTGCACGGTTTGTGGTGCTTGCGTCGCCGTCGCCGGCACGCCGGGGGAAGGGGTCGAGTGGAAGTGATGGTCGCTCGTGATGGTACAGCTCAGAGAGAGAGAGTTTTCAAAACCAACAAGAAGTCACGACTCTCACAGTGATTTGGGCTCGGCAGCTTGTGTCAGCTCAGTGTCGAAGAGTCGCGCTCGCGGCGGGAACGCGGGGCCGGGAGATGAGGAATACTGTATCAGAGAAAGAGACGACGTTGGATCATAGCACGGACTCTAAGCAGCAGCCATCTTCAGCCCGACGGACCCCTGACTCGCCTGCACACCTCCCGCAACGTCTGCTCCACGCCTGCGGCGTCGTAGTCGAGGAACTGGCCCACCTTTCGCGCGTACGCCATCATGGGCTGCACCTGCTCCGCGCTCCATCGCCTCCACAGGTCGAGGTTCGAGCCAATGCTCGATGCGCTGCTCCACAGAGCGACCCGGTCGTAGTCGATGGCGCTGCCAAACGCGAGGCTGTGCCGCGACAGGGAGACGAAGATCGGCACACAGCCGCCGCGCGACGCAAAGAGGATCGCCTCCACGTACTTGCCCGTGTTGCGATAGTCCCCCGCGGCCACGATGCAGAACTTGTGGTCCATTCCCGCGCGGAGGTACTCCTCCCGGCCGAGCCTCGACGAGAAGATGGCCTTCCCGGCAGCCATGAAATCGCGTCGGAACCCCGGCTCTCCCATCGTCGCTCGGCACTTCCCCGACGATCTGGGTCTTGCGTTGCAGTTCAGATACTGTGCACCCCTTAGCCGGATGCAGTGCTCCCGCCACGTTCCGTTGCGCGCGCACTCGAGCCCGCTGCCCAGCGTCCAGACGTCGGGCGAGGCGACCGTCGCATCGGAGCGGTTGTAGAGCTGCCGCCAGATGCGCCAGCGGGTGGTTGAGATGTCTAGCTGCGGGACGTGGCCGACGAAGAGGGCGGTGCGCCGTTTCGCCCAGGCGACGGGGGGCGCGAGACTATCCAGCTTACCTCCGATAGTCAGCGCGAATGGCACAACGATCTCTCGCCCGCCTCCCCCCATCTCTGAGAAGAAGTAGACGGAGCGCGGGAAGTGGACTGCCGAAGCGGAGCGCACCCGCGAGTCTATGAAGAAGTACGAGGCGACGACCGGCAGCGTGGAATTTGCTGCCAGCTGTGTCAGCTCTCGCATGGCATCGTATCGATATCTGTCCCGAAAGGTGATGTCCGCCCCAAAGAGAATCCACGCGGCTTTGGATCGCGGGGTCGAGTTGACGCGCGGAGCAATTCGCGAGAAGACGTCGTATTGGTCAGCGTACGCTTCGGTCCGAGTCTTGGCCGACGTCTTGTGCGCGGGTCTAAAGACGTGCACTTTGCAGGGAGGCATGTGCTGCGCAAAAAGCAGTCGGAGGCGCGTGCCCAAGCTAGTTGTCGGCGAACGAACATCCATCCACAGTTTACTCCCTTAATGTAGGTAAACCATAAAAGTAGATTTGAATTCGTCCACGTACGGCTTCGTGAGTGGTTGGGGTGGCCTCAAGCATCCCCAAGGGAGCCTCTGCGGTGCCACATAAGCAGCTTGGTGATTGTCGAGACTTTGAAGGATTCGTTTGAAGAAACGCAAACAGGCCAGACACTACTATGGTCACCAGTAAACCATAATTCGACTTTGAGGGATCATATCTCAAAAAGCCGGGAGATAACAGAGCATTATTGTTGCATATTATACCACATAAGGTCAAACTTGACCCCACAAGCATCAAGAACCCGATGCTCCGGCTCGACTGTGCCGGCACACTGCCTCCTCACGCCTGCTGCCAGCAGCCGTCGCGGCCCGTGGTGCACCAGAGAGAGAGGTCGACGCGTTGCCCCCGCCGGCGACCCCGCGCGGCTCAGGCCGGCCAGAAGGTGTCTGGTGACGGCGCCGTGGCAGGAGTGCGGAGAAGAGCTCGCCGAACGCGAGCAGAAGATGTCCAAAGTGTGCCAGCGCGAGAGCCTCGCGAGCGGGCGCAGAAGGAGCTCGCCGTGACACGATGCCGGGCGGTGGTGGTGCTCTGGCGACTGTGCACAGTGGGAAAAGTCAGGCTGCAACAGGGCAGCACGATGGTAGTGCCCTGCTGCAGCCTGGCCTGACATGCACAGGGCGAACAGAGACACTACTATCGTCCGGCGCTCGTCGTCGAATCTGGGCCAACTTCGACCGCCGCCACAGCTCGCCACGAGCACGCAGCGACAAAATGTTGACTGTACGGAAGTTGAGGCTGGTCGAGAGGAAGAGGCTGCCGTGCGAGCCGGCAGCAGGCTGGCTCGTCGTGGACTGCCGCGGCGACTTTTATGGGCTTCTCTGTTCATAGTAGCGTGCACGCTACTATGGTTTACCCACATTAAGGGAGTACCCCCCCCCCCCCTCCCGGGCTAATGAAGTGGCTTTTCTTCATTCCCAACCCTTAGATCTAATTCGAAAAATGGACACGCAAACCTACCTACCTATCCGCCAGCTCCACCCTCCCCACACCGCCACCGCCGCCGCTCACGCCGCCGCCGCCCTCCACCTCGCCCACCCACGCCCCCTCCGCCCTCCACCTCCCCCACACCGCCGCCGCCGCCGCTCACGCCGCCGCCGCCCTCCGCCTCCACCACACCGCCGCCGCCGCCGCTCACGCCGCCGCCGCCCTCCACCTCGCCCACGCCGCCGCCAGCCTCCACCTTCTCCCCACCGCCGCCGCCGCCCTCACGCCGAAGCCGCCCTCCACCTCGCCCAAGCCGCCGCCAGCCTCCACCTTCTCTCCACCGCCGCCGCCGCCGTTCACGCCGCCGCCGCCTTCCACCTCCCGCCCACGCCTCCGCCTCCCTCCACCTCCCCCACGAGGGGTACTTTCTTTCCTTGCACACATGCACAGTTAGTGCCAGTGCGCGCCAGTCCCGTGCTCTCTCCGCATGTGCACGTATTCGCCTTCCTCTCGTTCTCGGTCTCGGCTCCGCGCGCAGCCCATGGAGAGGGAGACGGCTGTTGCGTGCTGTGCCTCGCCTGTCCGTGTCCCGTCCCCGGAGCTCCTCTCGTCACTCCAGTCTCCACACTCGGGTCTCGGGACTCGGCCAAGCCCAGCTCCCAACGTTCCCGGCCTATCGTTTCTTGGCGTCACTAGAGACATTACAAAAAACAGAGACACAGAGCGGAAGTGGAAAAGACGCAAGTCAACTTGTGTACGTGTACAATCAACGGCGGTGGTGTAAGAGACGAATGGAGGAATGCTGGCGGAATGGGGGGCCTCCTGACTAGAGATGGGCCCCGTACCATCTGTCTATGGGCGCGCGTGCATGCGCGCTGGCGTGTCGGGACAGAGACGCCTTGGCGAGCGCGCCATCAGCTGGGTGCGCTACGCCTCCGCTCGCCACCTCTGCCCAAGCCATCCACTCCGCCACGGCGCGTCGGCTCGCGCCCCGACCCGCCAGCGGCGTCGACTAGAGGAAACATGCCGGACAGGGACAAGCAGCGCGATCCCCGGCACCTGGGGGCTGTTCGGGGCAAAGGCTACGGGATCGGCACCGCGTCGACAACCACGACCTGCTCACAGCTGCAAGTGTGAAGACACCCCATCCGCAAAGCGAGTGGCGCTGCGCCGACCACCCCCACGACCTTGCTCTCCCCGGTGAGGCCGGCGGACACTCGCTCTCCGTGCGCGACGTCACCGCTCGCCGAGGCCGACGCGGAGGCGACGGAGACGGAGGAGGCGGACGGGATCGCGCTGGCGACGGGCACACACGAGCAGGTGGCAGTGGCGACCTGTGCGCACAGGGGCGGGCGGTGGCGAGGCGCTGTTCACCGCATGGGAGGCGAGGAGTCAGAGGAGGCGCCGCCGGCACCGGTGTGGGGTAGCCGGCGGCGGCGGCGAAACGGCCGACGCCCTGGGAGCTGCGCGCACCGCCGGGCGGCACCAGAGGGTACACGTACACGGCACGGAAGGTGCGTGCGCCCTTGGGCTTGCACGGCGCAGTCCAGAGCCGCACAAAAGTGATGGCGCCGCCGTTGGCGCGGGCGGCGGCGGCGCGGCAGACAGCGTCGATCTTCTCGTCGACGCGCTCGTTGTACCTGCGGCCGCCGATCGAGACTGCGAGCATCGCAAAGAGACCGCCGATCATGCAGAACATCATCAGCCCGATGGAGGCGGAGAGCTCAAAGTCGAGTGTGCGGACGATGCCGAGGGAGGGGTGGAAGACAAAAAGACCGACCAGGAAGCCGACGAGCATGAAGACGTGCCCCCAGCCTTCCGGCGCGTACGAGCGGACGAGCTGCCCCACCTCGCTGCTGAAGGCGGCCCAGTCGCCGTCCCGCATGCTGAGCCAAGCGGGTCGGGGCCCGTCGCTCCACTGCCGGCGTCCGCAGGGCCCGCATCCGGCGGTGTCATGCTCGATGGCAAGGCATACCCCGCCCTCGGGCAACGTCGGCCGTGATGAGTACTCGGCGCCCATGAGCGGAGAAGCAGCTTGCAAAAGCTCCACAGGGTTCGTAACAGCGAGGCCTAAGTTTCTTTCCCCGCGCTACACCTGACCTCTATCCAGCACTCATCCATCACGGCGGCGTCGCGGCGGCGCCGCTCACCCCCGCTGATGCACTTTTCTTCATATCTGGGGCCTCCGGCGCCAGTGCGAAGTCTAGTCGCCCTAAACCACCAGCCGATGAGCGACTCCCGGAGCGAGTCCCCGAGCAAGCGCGTGCGGATCGAACCGGCACCACCGCCTCAACCGGCAGGCACCTTTATGGCGCGCGCCGCCACTCCCCCGGCCTGCCCCAACAAGCGTCGACAAAACACTGATACACAGCCACTCACAGAGACCAAACCTGCACTCAGAACAGCGCCAAAACGAGCGAACACGCGCCCACCAACCACACGCGACAGAGCATAGCACAAAATCCGACGCGCGCACTCGCGACGCAGCGCAGCGCAGAAGCTGACGCTGACGCTGACGCTGCGCTGCGCTCGCTCGCTTGCTGCACGGCACGCGCTCCGCACACGCACGCGCGTGCGCTCGCGCGCTACGCGTTCGCTCCGCGAAGGACACCCACAACCCGAACCCGAGACTCCCCACAAAACAAGAGCCCCTCGAACCGATAGAACCCAACTCATGCACAACCACCTCTACAGCTGCTCATATAGCCGCGAATTTCTGCCATAGGGAATGCAGGCTGCGATGGGCGAGTCCCTCCCGTACGTGGAAAAGGCGCTGATGATCGAGACGACCCACATGAACAACACCCACGTGGGGACCGTTGTGGAGTGCATGACGCTCGACATGGAGTACGAGGGGGCAAAATTCAACTTGCACCAAAACCGCAACACCTACTACCTCTCAAGCTCGGACGAAATGGTCGACTTCGACGCGATGCTGACCCGCTTTGCGACGCCGGGCATCCCACTGCCCATCAGCGACGGCTTCGTCGCCACCTACCTCGACGGTGCGGAGAAGAAACCCCTCCCCTGCCTAAATAAAGAAATATCCCTCACCCCCCCCCCCCCCCTCCGTCCTACGACCCTCACAGGCGACCGGTGTAACATACCCCCCGGCGCCAAGATCACGATGAACGTGGTCGACCTCACCATGGCGCTAAAGGAGAAGACCAAGGAGGTCACCAAATCCAAGGACAAGAACAAGGTCCACTTCCGCGTCGAGATTATGCCGCAGTCGACCCTCCTCGCCGAGTCTGTGGACGAGGCCGAGATGACGCGCACCATGCGCAACCTCTTCCAGGCGCCGCGGGGGACGACCCTCGAGATCGATGTCCGGAAGGCGGTCCAAAAGGCCTTCGAGGGATTCTCGTTCAACATCACTGCGATGAGCTTCTATGTTGACATCACGGTCAAGCGGGACGACGAGTCGAAGGCCCTATAGCGGCCCACCCACAACTCTTCCCTACCGACCAAAGACAGAATCCCCCCTTCCCCCCCCCCCGATGCAGCACTCCATCTGCATGATCAAGCCACGCGCGGACTGCCAGACGACCTCCGGCGCGGCCATCCGCATCGAGCCCATTTCCGGCATCCGAGGCAAGCCCGCGATGGCGTGGCAGCACGACGAGAGCCACTCGGCGGCGAGCAACACGCTCTTGGGCTTCACACCCACGCCGCCCCCCCCGCCCGACGTCCCCATGCACGTCTGGGCGCGCCCCCTCGTGATCGCGATTCAGGAAGTCTGCTTCGCCTCGGGCCGCATCATGATGCCGTACTCGAAGGGCCTCGACGGCGCGGCCCCGGGCACCAAGCTGTTCGGGTGCCACACCAAGGCACAGACCCCCCCTTCTTCCCCACCCTTCCTCCCGCCCTTGACTGCTCCACCAATCCACCAAACAGGTCCAATTCGACGCCCTGCACGACGTCCTCATCCACAACCCCAAGGGCCTTCCCGCGATCACCAAGGCGGACGGCCGCATCCACGTGGCGGACAAGGACGGCCGCTCCTGGCAGTTTGACCTCTTCTCCCGCCGCGAGTCCATCTTCTGCTCCAAGCACGAGTCGCAGCAGACCGCACAAAAGAAATCACAGAAAAAGAAAACCACTCTGGAATATAGGTGCCTCAAGCTGCCTCCATTCGCGAGGTTCAACGGCGTCGTCGCGCACCACATCACGCAGCTGCAGCAACAAGGGCTGGTGGGGGACTTGAGCCGAGTTTGGTGCGACTGCCGCTCGCTCAGCGGCCCCCCACCCGGCCCCTCGACCGCAAACAAGTCCGCGGAGGAGACGGCAGCCCTGCGCAACCGCCTCGTCGAAGCGCGAGAGCAGCGGAAGCGAGAGCGGGAGGAAAACGAGAAGGCCTACGCGAAGCGACGCGGCTCCACCTCCGCCGACAACGCATAGGGCCTAGTGATGCTGCTACACAAGCGCCACCCTCTTCCGAGCCACCTAATCCCGTTTATAGCAGCAGACCACAATCCGCCACTCCTAGTCCATACATCATCGGCACTAGTCACGCCGGACAAGCGACAAGAGACACTCTCCAAGATGCTTACCCACATGATCAATGGCCAAGCCATAGGACTGGTCTGCGCTTGCGCCCCGCGCCGATGCCACGGCGAGATCATACTAGAAAAGCTGAAGAAAATGTATGGCGAGATAGCAAAGTAAGGCTCATGGTCTAGTGGTTCGGGGACCAACATTCTGTCTAAAGGCCCGGGTTCGGGTTTATCTCGGACATGTTTTTGGCCACACAAAGAAAAGTCACTGTGAGAGTCATTTTGTTGACACAAAAGAGAAACGATCTATCACCTTGACAAACAGCGACGACCAGCAGCAACGACCTAGAGCAGCGTCCTGCCGAGTGTGTGTAGCACCGACGCAGACGCACCCCAGGCACTACACTACGACGGCTAGGCAGACCTCACCAGTCCGATAAGGATCAACTGGAAGGTTGAACCTCGAGCTTAGACAGAACGGGCGCGACAGACTCCAGGGGAGATCGCGCTCTACTCGGGGCACCAAGGAGGAAAACCGAAACCGTTTGGGTGCCCCACAACAACCCAAACGCCACAACCTAAGCGCCACACCTCCCCCCCACGTCCCCCCCCCCTTGGGGACGTAGCGCACGCCCTTGCTCGGAGAGAGTGGGGGGGGAGGGGGGGTGGGGGAATAGGAGGAGCCAACGAGCTCGGAGTAAGGTCCACAGTAGAGAGGCCGGCATTTAAGGCGTAACTTCACCCTCGCTCACCTCGAGTATATCTAGGCGCCCTGGTGCAGTCGGTCTTCGGATCAGCGGCCAGCTTCCCATCTAGGGCAGGGAACCCCCAGCGACGCTAGTGTGGCCTACGGTAGCCATAGCTTGTACGCGATCCCGGGGCAGGGGGGTGTGGACTCTGGAGCTCCAAGAGAGGATCGAGAGAGGAAGGGAGATTGGTGTGCCGGTTTTTTGAGCTAGCAATTTTTTTTTTCACCCCCGCTGATGCCTGCTCCCGAGCCGCCCGACGCCGCGCCGCCCTCGCGCCCGGCGAAGCTTCCCCCGCAGGCTGAGGCTGGCGACCCGATGTAGAGCCGGATGGAGAGCGAGCGGAAGTCGGGATGGTGGTGCGAGCGCGGCACCTCCTCGAGCGCCATGCCGCCCTCGTCGCGCATCTGTTGCAGCAGCGCCGCGTCCAGCTCCGGGTGGCGGCACTTGTGAGCGAGCAACAGCGCACCGCCGCCCGCCGCCAGCCGGCGCACGGTGCTGCAGAGAGCGGACAAGCCTCGCCCCTCTCTCTGGTAGGCGACGTCAGCGGCGAGGAGGAGGCCGACCTGCGCCGGAGGGGCGGGCAAACGCGCCGACCCCACCGCAGACCCCACCGCCGCAGCCTCCGCCTCCGCCGACCCCACCCCCTCCTCCTCAGCCGCCGCGTCCGCCGCCGCCTCCCACTCCAACTCTGCCGCCTCCACCCTCCCTCCCGCCGCCTCCACCGCCCCCGCGTTGGCGCGCGCGTTCGCGTCGAGCAGCGGCAGCGCGGCGCGCACGTCGGTGAGGACGACCCTCGCACCGAGCGCCGCCGCTGCGAGGCCGGCGACGCCAGTGCCGGCCCCGAGCTCAACGACCACCTTGTGCTCCGCGATCGCAACCCGCAGCGCCGCTGGCCGCGCGGACTCGAGGTACTTTGCGAGCACGACGCCGCACTCCCACACCATGCCCGACGTCCCGCTGCGGCCGGCGGCGCCCGCGCCCGCGCCGCGGCGGGGAGGGAAGCGCCACTGAGTGACGGTCATCTCGACGCCGTTGACCGCCAGCCTCTTCTCGTCCTGCTCACAGCTAGAGGTGTGAAGAGACGCTGTTCACGGCACGCCGTCGACCGCCGGCCTCCTCTCGTCCTGCCGGAGCAGCAGCGCCTCCGCCGCCTCCAGGTCCTCGCGAAGCTGGTCGACGTCGGCCTCGTCTAGCGAGGTCTCGAGGTCGCCATCAGAGGCGACGAGGCCAGTGAGCCTGTCAAGCTCTCTTCCTCCTCCTCCTCCGCCGCCGCCGCCGCCGCCGCCAACGCCAACGCCGTCGCCGCACTCGCCGCACTCCTTGTCGCCACACCGGCCGCCGCTGCCAGGGAAGAAGAAGGGGGGGAGAAAGAAACCATCATCGGAGGCGGGGACGGGGCCGCCGCCACCGCCTCCGCCTTCCCCTCCGCCGCCGCCGCCGCTACCACCGCCATCCCCTCCGCCATCCCCGCTGCCTCCGCCTCCGCCATCCCCGCCGCCGCCGCCGCCGCCCCCGCCCCTCGCCCCGCAGCTCCGCTTCCCGCAACGCACGCCGAGAGTGTCGTCGTCTGACGCCGCCAGCCGCAGCGCCGCGGCCACGCCCTGCTCCCGCGGCTCGAGCGCAACGCGAAAGTGTGAGACGGCGTCCGCGTACCGGCCCGCGTTGAGCGAGGCGCGGCCGAGCGTCAGCCGCGCGGCCGCCCAGGCAGGGGCGAGGGCGACGGCGCACGCTGCGGCATCGCACGCGCCGGCGTCGTCGCCCACCTCGAGCAAGCACTGCGCCAGCAAGTCGCGCGGACGGGCGGCGGTCGGCGTGGCGGCGATCGCGGCCCGGAAGTGCTCGATGGCGGCGCTGAAGTCGCCGCTCTCTGCCGCCGCCTCTCCGCGCGCTGTTGCGCCGCGGGAGTGATCGGCGCCATGCAAGTGATCGAACCCTCCCACGCCCGCCTCCTCCCCCGCCTCGCCCGTCCCTGCCACCTCCTCCTCCGCCGCCTCCCTGGCCTCCTCCGCCTCCGCCTCCTGCCCCGCACCAGCTGCCCCCGCC